ACAATCAGAGTTTCAGGCCCAGTCGTTAGCTTTCCCTCTAGCCTTTTACTTTTGGAGTAGCTATTGGTCCTTACCCTGCTGCGTGAAGAGGACAGGTTATCCAGGTCATCAGATCTCCGGTTCTCGGTCAGCGGAGCGTATCTGTTCTGGATTGGCACACTTGGTGGTTTAGGAGAATTGTTTGTAGTTCTCCCTTTAGCAGCTGTCCACTGCTGTTTCCTAGTATGAATAGGGGTTGAAGAGGCGCTCTTCCTGGGTGATAACAATGCAGGCCAGCCGGTCGCATCACAGATTTCGGAGCTCTGGGCTCTGCCTGTTATCCGTCCTCCCAAATCCCATGGAAATGATTTACTCTTAGGCTTTGCACCCAGAGAGTTCCAGGGAGGACTACCACTTGTAGATTTATTACCCGGTACACAGCCCTCCTGTTCCTTGGAATCCTTGTAGCTGCTAACTAGCTGTGAGTTAGCATACCCTTCTCCATTATTTTGCAACACTGGTAAAGTCGTGTCATTCCCACGACATAGTCCATTCAGTTCCACGTTAACTTCCAACCGTTGCATTTTCATTTCCAACACAGCCATCTTCTGTATAAGTTTCTGGAAGTCATCTGTAGAGAACGGAGGCATTTTGCTACCAACTAGCTAAATAGCAGTAGCCTACCAGGCTTTAGCTGTTGCTAGGCCACGCTATTGTAAGACTGACGTCGTCGTAAAAATGTTGAAATATGGCTGAAAAATGTGCTAACGTGGTGAAAACGTTAGCACATTTCACCACATTCTTTCAGAATGAGAATAAAAGTATTTTACGAGGTGAAAATCACTACAAGTCTGGGCACGTTGAGAGCTGTACCTATATGAAAGGGGAGTTAGTCGGTTCTGTAAGAGCCAGCATGCGGGACCGGCTTTACAAGGTTTCGGTGAGTAATATGAGTGCAATGTGTAACGTTAATGTCAGCTAGCTAACATTAGCTAACAAGGTACACTAACGTGTTTTGTTTTAGTAACTAGTTTTCTCCTTAAGAACTTCGTGGTCTCTGTGTATGCTGTGGATAACATTAGTGTTCACAAGAACAAGGTACACTCCCGTGTTTTGTTTTAGTTGCTCTTTATATTGAAGCGGACAGTTTTATATCGACTATACTGTATGTGTGATCTCCTTTTTCTCGTTGTGTCATTTGACTTTATTTGCTGTGTGTCGATTCAAGGATTTTGGTTATCTAGGCACAGCTGTGTGTGACTCCCTCTGGTACACTGGTATGTGTTTTCCTAATGTAGAGAGCATTGATTAATTAATAAACTACACACTGAGTCTAGATCCTGACCAAATCCTTTTTTATTGTTGATCAAATGTTTTTCAAAAATGTATTCATACACATTTAGAAAAATACAATGTACAATCACAACCAATACAACAAAAAATACAGAAAAAACAAACAATAACAACAGACAAGAGGACACAACTATGGAAAAATAAACCCTCCCACCCCCAGATCCGGACCATCCTTGTATTATTGCTCATTCAATCTATTATAGCATGCTAACAAATGGTACTTACTTTATTTTTACAGATCTGCATGGGAGACGATGGCGCGATGCAGAGCGCTGTCTGTGATTGTGCACGGGGGGATGTACAAATGCAGCCACGCTGCAGCATTGGCAATATTTGCCATGTGGCAGATCAGCTCCACAGATGTTGAGTGCCAGTGGAGGAAGCCTGGCACTTAAAAAGTAGTCCAGCCGGTGTCTCAACTTTACCAACAGCGAGAGGAGACATACAACCCACTGGCCAGAGACATCGCCAACTGTCAACTGGGGGGTTGTAAACGAGGCCGAAGGGGTGAAGGCTTTTGTGGAGGCCTATCAAGTGACAGTGTTAGAATCGAGTCTGGTCTCTTTGTGAGTGAGTCGGGTGTTTTGGGAGCATCACCCGATGGACTTGTGCAGCCATCTGCCCTGCTGGAGGTGAAGTGTCCACACAGCCAGAGGAACATGACCATTGCGGAGGCAGTCCAGTTACCATCCTTCTGTCTTCGTGAGGAGGGTGAGTCATATATTCTCAAGGAGAATCACCCATACTGGCACCAGTCCAAGGGCAGCTGCATATCACAGACCGGAGTCTCTGCTACTTTGTTGTGTGGACCACGAAGGAGGCGATCATCCTCCCCATAGACCCTGCATGGCATGGAAATCTCCTCCTCCTGGACAAATTCTACACCCAGCATATGCTCCCTGTGTTGGCCAGTAGAGAGGAGGACATTTCAATAAACATACTCTTAACACCCTCGGACTCTGCGTTGTGTTTCGTATGTGTGATGGGGTGTTATGCAGGGGGGAGGAAAACAGGACACAGCAGATTGGGATTGTGGTGGAGATGCTGAGCAGTTATTTAATTGTTGAATGTAATTATTATTATACTGCGTGCTTCTGAGTTATTCCATATTTTGCTGTAACATGGATCTGTATGTAACTCTATATTTACTTGTTATCTACCACACTTCCTTCTACATCATACACCATCATTATACATGATGGTGTATATAGGATATATATATTTGTATACATATCTGTAAATTGTATAATTTTATTTAAACGTCTTTTTGATCTCTCTGTCTATAAACACAAACTGAGTAAGATTGACAATAAAGTTGACTTTGAAAAATATATATATTCTTTATGAAAATAGTTGACTGTTGTCAAATGAATCCAAATGAAACGTTGGATTGAACTACAACTACGCCTTAACATCTCTACGGACTGTTTTTCAGTGGGATGGCAAGTTCCTATCTTTAAACATTTATTAGTTTTTTCTCAGAACAGATTTGATTTTCTGAAGTTAATTTAACTTTGCCGACCATGTAAGGTCATTATTAAAAGGTACAATCAATTTGTTTAGGGTTGACTAAAATAATGAAAAACATTCATTTGGATAATTTACTGACAGAATAAGAAACTCAATGATGCTCTACTCACCTGTTCCCTTTTTATAAAGTGAAACAGTTGAAACGATAGATTTTAGTAAACTTAAAAACAACCTTCTCCAAAAGCTATCAAGGAATATACCGAATACTTGTTTTAGAACTTTATTACATATTTTTATATAAATAGTTTGAATGATCCATAATTGACAGAAGCTTGTGTTTACACTGACCTGTTACTCATATATTAATGTCTTTGTAATTTCAGTAAACCACTACCTCACTAATTTCTTTCATTCAACACGGTTCAGTAAACTAAGTGATACATGAACCAGTTTAATCATTATAATAACGTAGGATTGCAACTCTTTGAAACTGTAGGTGGCTCTTAAAAGAGCCGTTGTGTTTGGGTGTGCTGCTCTCAGGTCAGTCTAAGCCCTCTCTCCGGGCGGGCCAGCTGGATGTCCTTGGGCATGATGGTGACCCTCTTTGCTTGGTTCATCTTACTGGGGGGCAGCTACATGGATGTCGGTGCAGTCCACAATCATTGCGCAGTTGAAGGCAGAATTAATTTATTATTGACTCCGAATGAAGCACAACTTCATGTCATACAATACAATGACTTTATTTGTAATTGTGTAAAAAAATATGAGCATTGATTAGCAAGCAGGACCTGCAGGAACAGAGAATGGTGATGGATGGAGCTGGGAAGAGAGAAGAATAAAGAAAACAGATCAACTTTATTATCGGATATTAAAAATTCAATTTCAAAACAAGTTGCCGCTCCTACAGTTTTCTAGTATGTAAAGATGATTTCACATGACCTATGCAAAATATCACACTCAATACATGTGTGTCTCTGGGGGGTGCATTGTGCCTTTGATGTATATAAATAATATACCAGAACCAAATACTATTACGTACAGTGGAAATCAGGTTGCCAGAGCAGGTCAGTGTGCATGTTCCTCAACGTCTCAGCAGTTACAGGTGAGGTAAAGAAAATAAAAGAGAAAAAGGTCAGTAACAACACTTTAAAGTAACAACACTTTGAATAATTATCTCTTCTAACAATTTTCTCTCAATAAGCACACAACGACTGTCTTTCCAACAAACAGATTGTCATCACAATGAAACACGTCCAGAAGAATGTCATGTAAATTTCCATGCCTGCCTTCGACTCTCCCTGAACTGCTTCCTTAGCACCCGGTGGAGGGCGCAGTAGGCTACTCTTCAAATGTTTCACGAAATACTTACCATCATGTTTGGTTACTGTTTAACATTTTGGTTTACTTCATGTAATAAAATAATAACTTCATGGTAAGGCTACTAAAAATGACAAGGCTAAGTAATGTAATGCTAACTAACGTGCTCGCTACTCGTCGCTACTCGTCGCTACTCGTCGCTACTCGTCGCTACTCGTCGCTACTCGTCGCTACTCGTCGCTACTCGTCGCTACTCGTCGCTACTCGTCGCTACTCGTCGCTACTAGCTAGGTAGCTAACTTGACTATGCACATGAACATGCACAACATGTATATTACCTATGATATTACCTGATATGTCTGATCCAGCGACTCCTGGTCCTTTCATCAGACGGGAATCGATAGAAGGAGCAAGTGGTATGATCACTTTTATGACTACAACCTGGTACAAAGCACACAGGCATCTTGTAAAAGTTAATTTATTTTTAGCGATCTATAATTTATTGGAGGGAATAAATCAGTTATGAGATCTTCTTCTTCTTCGCTTTAATTACGGGTTTTATTATAAATCACCGAGCATGCCTGTGACATCACTTACGCGACCCAGAATGGGATTTGGGATTTGTAGTCTTTGTAGTAGCGTATTTTTCATAGTCTTATATTTCAGCAGTTTTAAGACAAAATGTGACTTTTTTGACATGGAAATGATTGTTTAAGATTGACAAAGATTATATGTGTAGTTCGTGGCACAATTCAAACGGGATCAAAAGATACGTGTTCTCTCTCCATTGAATTCAATGTAAATGTTTCGCTTCCGGGGTCCCATGGTCCGGAAGTAGATGGGCGTGACTTCGCCTCTCCATAGTATCGCCATATGATTTCTCCGTGCGCGTTTTCCCTCCTTTGTCCCACTTCGCTTTCCTTACTAACGAGGGCGGGAACCATAGGCTGTATATATAAAGGCGGGAACATAGAAAGGGCACAGAAGAGGAAAACGCGTGTAGTGGAAGACCAGAGAGGTATGGCTGCAGTTTTACGATTATTGTTGTTTATAAACGATGTTTCAAACACATTTATCATTATATTGTTACATATACATGCTCAGTGTTGTGTGTATTGGTCAGCTGCTGTCTGGTTTTCCCGCCATTACTGTTCATATTCAGTGTTTCGGACATATTGTTTACATGTGGACAGAAACTGAATTTACAGCGCTGAGCGAACAATCCTCCGTGTTTGAACCTCTTAAATCGCTGCATAGCAGATTTATTTGGACTGGATTATCCCAGAGTCTAACGATTCTTTATAACACAGTTTCAGATTTGTGAAACCTTAATTCTATTTGTGAAAATAATCCAGTCACAGCTTCAGTAATACCTAATGACTGTTTTAACCGTTATCAGTGGTTTAAATACATTTAGTTAAGTACTACACTTTAGTAATGAATGTGTTCTTTACTAGTGTTGCAGGCATACTATTATATATGATACTGATTTGGGCAAAACAAGTACTCTTACTTCAGTTATTTAAAGTATATTTGAATGCAGGATTTCACCTCTAACAAACCATTTTTACACTGTGGTATTGCTACTTTTATTTAGGTTAATCTGAATATACCCTTTCCCCCCCTTATTTTCTTCAAGTAATAGTTTATTTTGTTAAATGTAAAAGAGGGGTGTTTAAAACTCATATGACAAGCAAGACTGCTTAATTATTTCCAAACCAAATTCTAAAAACAGTACAATTTAAAAGCTGCAAAACATAGGTTTAAGAAACGTTGTTCTGGAGTGACCTAAACTGTTAATTGATTGTCTCAATAATCTTCAGTACATTAACCGTTTGTAGAGGATAATCAATACTAGCTAGCTTGTGTTATAACAAGGTTTATAGAAACATACATATATTTTCAGTTCTTGAATCACTGTTGTCTAGTTTTCACCATTACCTAAATCAATACTTTTTTTCCAATAACCTCTTCAGGATATGTGTATTAAAACATGCTAACATCTTAAATGTACGGCTATATAATCATAAGCTTGAACGTTTGGTGCACTAAATACACACAATCTTCTGTGATAAAGACGCTCATACACATGATATAAGAAAGAAGCGTAGTGCTTGTTGTCCATGTGACTAATCCAACAATATGTCCTTTCTCTATTGGTCAGGTGACACGTTCAGTTTGCCACCATGTCGTCCAATAAGAAGGGCGGCGATGAGCGTTTCCTCCGGGTTCAGAAGGACCCCAGGTTTTGGGAGATGCCCGAGAGAGAACGCAAGATCGACAAGCGCTTCCAGTCCATGTTTCACGACAAGCGCTTCACGGAGAAATACACAGTGGACAAGAGAGGCCGACCCATCAACCAAACCTCCACCGAGGACCTGAAGCGCTTCTACAACGTCTCCAGCTCAGAGGACGAAGACGACGATGAGGAGGGTGTGAAGAGCAAGAAGAAGAAAGAAGTGAAGGAGGAGCTGGTGAAGGTGGAGATAGAAGTGAAAGTGGAGAAAGAAGTGAAGGTAAAGGTGGAGAAAGAAGTGAAGGTGGAGATAGAAGTGAAGGAGGAGCTGGTGAAGGTGGAGATAGAAGTGAAAGTGGAGAAAGAAGTGAAGGTGAAGGTGGAGAAAGAAGTGAAGGTGGAGAAAGAAGTGAAGGAGAGCAAAGACGTTAAAGCTGAAGGACCGCCGCCTGAACGAGGGGTCAGAGTCATAGAAGAGGGTGAGTAGATGTCTCTGAGGCTCATATTCACTGATGCAGGCTGAGGAAACGAGCACAGATTCAACATTACAACTTAATTAGTTTAGTTCGTCAGTTAGCTGAGTTTCTTCCCGTTAACTGAGTATGACACATTAATAGGTTGTTACATTTGAACAAGCTCTGAGACACAGTTCCGTGACGAAAAAAACCTGTATCCCCGCTAACGGGGGCTGTAGGGTTTATCTGCTTAAACATGACAATAGCGCCAAAATAAACTACACATTATCATATTCATGCTATACATAACTAAGCACAAGAAGAGGCTGCGAAGCTAAAGTCAAGAAGAGCAACTTACTCGTTTGATGCGATGACAGAACTAACGTTCACAGGAAGTGAAGCTATGATGCGTTCAAACGCCTCTTGTAAAATACAGTCTTTCGCCCAAAACTTCCAATAACTGCTTCAAAAATCTGCCTTCATATAAACTCAAGGAACTATTGCATTTTCATTAATAAATTGCTTTGACATTTTATTTTTATTAACGTCAGTATTTCTTTTTGATTCGTTGTAAACTGCTCAGGGCTGGTAAAGGTCTATAGATTTGAATAGTAGTTTGAAAAAAACCAGTTTTAATAGCTGTTTTTGATTGGCTTTTTTTAATACTTGTGTCTGGCTGAAAATGATGCAGTATTTAAACAGGATTTGCATCTTCTGCCTCTTATTCTGCATGAAGACAAGAGCGACAGAGAAAAAATGGATTCCTATGGTAAATGGCCGAATTTAGATTAATGCTACTTGTTATTCATTCATTGTGTGCTTGCTTTAGCGCTGCCTGTTAGAATATGATTGAATTTATTAAACTAATGGTTGAAAATGATCTTTTCAGATGAACTTGTGCGTTACACTGCAGCAGAGAAGACCTTCGCTGTGAGAAAAGGTAGGCTGCTTTAATATTGTTTAAGTTAGAAGTAACACACTTAGCTATTCTATCTACCTCTGGAACTAGCTAAACTAATTATAAATATGTTTATTCTTCACTGTCGGCTCACTCATTACTCTGGATCAGCCAGCTGCATGAGATACTGACGCGCTGTCAGGAGAGAGGAAAACACAGGCTCCATTTATTATCCAAAGTTACTGTACACTTTTGAATCATGTAGTTAATCTAGCATAATTAGATTGTTTAATATAGAGTCGTTATCAATTTCTTTTAAAACTCTATAAATGCCATAGAAGACGTTTGACCTGCACTTTTTTCTCATTTTGTCGATGTTAACCGGCTACAAAACATTTCTAAGGGAAGCTCTGGTTTTGTGTGTACACTATTTAGTAACGGTTGTTCTGTGTTTGTAGGGCTCCCAGTGTACTTGCTCGCAGCCTCCATATGCCAGGGTGTTGAAGAGCAGATACCACACCTGACTGCTGCATATGTCCACCCAGACACATTCCTCGCGCGGAGCCTGGAGCAGCACGCCTGGAAATTTGATCGGGTGACCGGGGAGGCGCTGGTGGTCGTGCACATCGGAACCGATGATGTGGCCTCCGGACTGTCCCCAGCAGCCATCGTGGGACAAATGGAGGCCCTCATTGACCGGATCCAGCACGGCCATGCAGAGCCTCTCTATGTGGCCGTCTGCTCTATCCTCCCCCGGCTGGTGGACAACCAAAGGACGATGGGTACGGTGCGGGACACCAACCGCAGGTTCCACGAATTGTGTCGGAGGAAGAAGGACACAATTCACCTTCCTACCGGAAAACTGTTTCTCCATCACAGACAGATTATTCAAAATTATTTTACTGGGGATGGAGTCCACCTAAATGTGGAGGGGAAAAAAGTCCTCTTTAATTATTTAAAGACATTTCTTTGGCATTTTTGTAAGCATTCATAGAATGTTTACAAAAATGCCAAAGACATGTCTTTCTCACAGACAGACAGAGAGGGACAGAGACAGACAGACAGACAGACAGAGAGGGACAGACAGACAGAGAGGGACAGACAGACAGACAGACAGAGAGGCAGACAGACAGACAGAGAGGCAGACAGGCAGACATACACTGCGTTACTGTTAATTATTTGATTTTTATAAATGTTAATAAAAATGTGTTACAATACTAGTATTATATTGTGCTTTCTAATATATTAACTGGGTCCATTTGGAAGAGTTTTAGACATTAATTTGTTACACACACCTACACACACTGTACAACACACACCTATGCATGGTCCTTGTTGAAATAAATACATAATAATAATCATTATAAATAATAATAATATAGAGATAGGAAATTACTGACAGGGAACCCTCTGAATCAGACTACGAGAGGCTGACTGCATCCACTCAGAGTGTCCGATTCAGAAACGTGACTCTTTCACCCTTTACGTCACAAACAAAGATGGTGGATGAGATTAGATCTATAAAACACATGGAACGATAATCAATGGGCCACAATGAAGGAGAGACTATCTGCATCTTTTAAAACTTTACGCACAAACGTTTCACCTAAATAATGAAATGCCTCCAATGCAAATGTTAATACGGTTGTTTATTGCCGTTTCTGAAGTTTAAGAGGAAAAAACAAAACAAAAAACACTATTGGACAGTAGGTGGTGGTTTGCACATTGAAGTTGTTTTGAACGAAGAAGAACAGGGAGAGAGAGGAGCTTACTTGTTCCTTACCTCTCTAGCAATAGAGAGGCGAAGTCCCTCCCCTTCCGGTGGGACTCAGACCTTATTTCGGAAAAAGTTTGTATTGATGGCAGAGATTATCAACTGTTCAGCGCAGACTACAAGCCGGAATGAAAGGATCAAAATAATTGTCAAATCAGCTGAAAAGTACCTTGATGTGAAAGGGATGCACTGGGAAAATGTGAAAGATATCCTAAATGATGACGTCCAATAACCTCAGACATGGACTGGATCATCCTGATGGTGTTAATTGTACTGCAGTGGAATGCTAGAAGTTTAATTGCAAATGGACAAGAGTTCAAAAAATATATTGACAACCTGGGAGAGAAACCTAATGCTCTTTGTATTCAGGAAACATGGCTGAAACCACAACTGGATTTTATTGTGAAGGGATATACTGCAGTTAGAAGAGATAGGGACTCTGGCAGAGGGGGAGGAGTTGCAACATTCATACAGAGTGGTATACATTATAAAGTTATGCATGTAAGTACAGATCATGAAGCAATAGTTATAAGGGTATGGAATGATAGAGGACCTATAGATATAGTAAATTATTATAATCCATGTGGGAAATTAGATCAAAGTATATTAGAGGATGCTTGGGGGTACACTGCAAGACAAAGTAATATGGTGTGGGGATTTTAATTCACATAACTCGCTCAACCCGGTATCACGGCAAGACGTGAACATGTGACGATTTACCATGCTGGGAGACGTGAAGATGTCACGATTTCGTCCCCTTCAAACGTGACAGCTACACGGTATTGTTAACCCATGTTAACCAGTGGAGAAATAACCGGAAATACCAAGCAAATGCTACCCCGACGTAATGATTTATTTTTTAATAGTCACACTCGATTACGGCGATTTTGATTTTCTGGTCGACACCTCTTTTAGCAGAAACAAAGGCTACATTAATGTATTAAATCGATGTTAATCCGTGCGTGTGGATGTAGAATTAACGGACGTGACGTTTTGCGATTGAGTTGCCAAGCAACAGCTTCGGTTCATGTTCATTTACAAACTATTCAACTACAACCGTAGTTATATTTAAAAAACATGTTAGAAGGCCTCACGAAATACTTTAATGCACATTAAAATGTAAATGTGAAGGAATGTGTGTATAACAAAATACATCGGTCATTAAACGAAACCGGAAACAGACGTAGGCAAGATCCTCAGCTCGATGATTGGATGGTTATCCGCAATGCATGCTGGGATTTGGTGTTTATGTGATGTGAAATCTGAAAACGTTTTTTAAAAATACAATAATACTTTATTCCGAGTGTGCTTGCTTTTCTCTTTGAAAGTCATCACATAACGGCATTGTAATACACGGTTCGGCTGCATTAAATATTACATATCTGCCGTAATTCTCTATTTATAGAGCCCTGCTGAGAAGACTTCTAGACAAACAGGAGAACTGCCGCCAAAACTGAAGATGTGACGTGGGCTCTAACTCTAGGGCTCTGGGTGGCGGTATGCACCTTTTAAGTTGTTTGCAATCCGACAAATCCGAGAGAAGAAGAGGTAGAAGAAGAGGTGAGTGGATTAAACACCTGCAGAGGTTTCATTAAGTGTATTTACACCTGTTAGCTTAGCTTACAGTTAATCACGAATCAGAAGTTATCTTATTTAACACAACAGCTGTAATCTTAGAAGAAAGAAACTCACAAAAAAACTTGAAATGTGCGCCAACATCGGCTAACAGGTAAAGTCTAAAAGCTATCGGCTAACAGCTATTGACTAACAGCCAAAGTTATTATTTCAGTTCGGCTCTGGGTGAGTAACAGTTTATTTGTAATGCTCAGCTGACTTTATGTTAGTAATTTATTACACCAGTTGTCTTTAAGACAGTTTGAGTTGTTGGGTTGGTGCTCTTTACCATAGATATGGTTTTAAATATATGCTAACTTGCTTATTAGCATCGCCATTCACCGTGACGTTGCATTTTTCCCATTGAAATGAATGGGGTTCTTCAGTTAGCAGCTAACGCTAAGCGACGGTTTAGCTCATTAGATAAATAGATATACTTTATTTAACAGGGATGCAAACTTGTCACCTTTCGGCGAAATTCGCCGTTTTGAATCCAAAATAGGTCGTTTGTGTGATTCATGTAGATCTGCAATAAAAATATTTTTGGGGCATGGGGGGGTCTGGGACCCGGAGTAATCTGCGGCCGCGAGCTGTTATGTGCCATCATGACACGCATGGTGTTCTTTTTTATATATTATAATGAAGCGCGAGTTGTGTGCTCGAGTCTTCCTGCCTGTCGGCTCTGCTCATGGATGTATAATAAGGCTGCTGCTCCGCGATGAGGGTTTAGCTTCAGCAGCTACATTACCTACGGGCAGGGCCGGACTGGGACAATAAGTCAGGCCGGGAATTATACACCCAGCCAGGCCACTACCAGTTTTCTTTTGTGCCATTAGTGCTGCCCATAGTGATAGCCCTAAACTTTAAATCTACTACCCCAGAATAAACATGGACATGGGTTACTAATTTAAAAAAAAGTGCAAATCTATTTAGGAACCTATCCATGTGAACATATTTTAGGTTGAGGTGGACCTCAAATCCTCTAGGGGGGTCAGGGGGCATGCTCCCCCGGTAAGAGGTTTAAATGTTGGACTTAAATGCATCAATCTGGTGCAAATAAAGAGACTACACCCATATGAAACAGAACTGTATACATTTAAATAATCATAAATTCATAAGAACATGGCCATAACCAATAACATACCATATCCAATATGAAAAAACATTGAAACTTGTTTATTTATTTGTTTTTGGTTCATTTATAGTTGTGAGCGTGTCTGGGCTCCTGAATCAGCCTCACCTGTCTCCCTCCTCTCCCCCTGCTCCTCTTTGACTAGTTTTAGCTCTCACCATGTTTTTAAAGTTTATATTGACTTTTTTCACCTAGTTTTATTATTCATCCATATTTTACTAATCACTCCCCAGTGAGAGAAAAAGTTTTTAGAGAGTACTTGTCCATGGACAAGTGAGTTTGGCAATTTACTTGTCCGAATACATTTTTCACTTGTCCAGAATGGACAAAAATTGGGGCCACTGGAATCTTCTTATTCGTCATCGTATTTTACATTTTCCCACGGTTTTTACGACACCGCTAACGTAAGTGAGCGGTAAGATTTTACTGCATCACACATAGGGTTGGGTATCGTTTGGATTTGAACGATTCTGGTTATTTTCGGTTCTTTGAGAGGGTAAAAATAAGTCAAACTGGGAGAAAAATATATTTATGAAAAGATTAAGTCAAATCTGTATTCCTATTTACAAATCACTTCATACTGTTGCATTTCTTACGGTTATTGAATACAATTTATATAAAAATAATCTCTGCATTGTTTAGTTAGTTCTAAGTGGTGCAGTTTGAGAATGTACAATTGGCCCAGTCTCCTCTGATGTTACACTGCAACCTGCCTGTGAGACAAAGTCCAACCACACATGTCCAACACATAGGACATAACCTAATAATAATAATAATGACACATTAGATGTATAGGCCTAGCGCTTTTCTACAACTCAAATACGCTTACACATGTCCTGCAATACACATGCTGCAGCTGCTCACTGTTTGTAAAAGTAAATAAATAGTATTTTCATTTCAATAATGTACTTTCTATACCCTGCTTCATAAACAATACTGACATCCCTGTGCTCCTCTGAGTCTGGGGGTCCGGGGATGTGAGGACACAGACAGGGAGGTTGCTTTACTTCATAAAGGAAATGGTGGTCAATATTAACAACATAGGAGTTAAAACGCTTAATAACCTTCATTACGTGTTAGAGAAAGAAAATAAGAAAGTTTGACAAAGATGAGGCTGTTAAACGGGCAGCGGATCCGCTGTGTGTAGAAAGAGAGAGAGAGACGCTGAGCTGCACCGTGCAGCGATCAGCTGATACGGAGCATAGAGAGAGCTGCAGTCCGCGGGGCTCGGCCTCGCCTCCTGTCCTCACAACTCTTATTAATCCCGGTACCGGACAATTGTTATTTGTTCCTACTCGGAACCGTGTTTTGCTTCCCAACCCTGCCACTGTGCTACACTTCCCGCCCCGTCTAACTGTACAGAAAGCGGCGAGATGCATTTCCTTAGGAATCGACAAGCAGAACCGAAACTAACACTTCTAAACGAACAATGGCGGACACGTACAATTTGCGAATGAGTTCTGCCTTTTGTAAACTGAATGTATCAATAATTTGTCAATAAATCAGGCCGAAAAACGTCACTTGTCCGCCGGACAAGTCAATTGAAAGATCTACTTGTCCGATATTGTAAATAACACGTCCCGGACGGTGGGACGTGTAC